AACGTTATTAGTGGTAATTGAGGAAGTTTTATTTCTGCTTGATTTGTGTGAATCATACTATTCTTTGGAAATGATTCTTTGACCTCTTCTTGTTTTAAATGTTGTAGTACCGAGCAATATTCATCAGTATGTATTTTAAGGGTAATAATAGTTTCTCTTGTTCTAGTGATTAAACTTAAAATACCTTGTGGATCGTCAACCATATTGGCGTATTTCGTCTCCTCTTCCTTTCTCCTCGTTGCTATTGTCAAGCTCTGAATATTATCCAGCCAATTTTGATTAGCTGTTTCGAGTAACCCAGCATAATATTCGAGATGTGCGATCTTCTCCTTGACGATTCGCAATTTAATTTCGTATTGATGCTGAAGTTCCCCTCGTGATAGTGTTTGAGACGGGGAGGTCAGATCGAGTTCACTTGCTTCTTTAAGAAGTTCTAGAGTTCTCGACTTCGATAATTCGCTTCCTTTTCTTATACTGTCGGACATGTCCCGGCTCGTGGCACCAAAATTGTAGTGGAAGCAAAAATGTTTTTGGAAACAACCTTTATGATTTGGTTAAATTGTTATTCGGGGGAGAAGTTTGATGTCAGGGAGATGTGTTGGATGCCAGCTAAATATTTGGGCAACAATTGAATAAACTGATTCGGAGGATTGGATGATTTTAAAACTGATCTAATTGACAATAGTATGGTTATAAAATCTACATTGATGTTAGACAATGATCCAAACAAAGGAGAGGAGGTGCTTGCATGGGCACCAGTTGCTAATAAAGAGCTTATTAGATAACCGCATGATTATGATAGCTAACAAAGAACAATGTAGATATCCTCATGATTGTAAGGATTGCTAACAAAGAACGATGTAAATTGTTTCAATATGTAGAAGCATAAATTTGGAAACAAAGAGTCCGAAGTATAAGCATTATTTGCGGAAATTACGTAGATATCTTTACTACAATTTGCAACTCATATTTTTAGATCGCGATATTAAAATCCGCGACAAATGTATGAATTTTTAATGGATCATTAAAAAAAATCAATAACATAGTTTTTTTTTTTTTTTTTATTTGCTGGAAAATGTAATATAACTATAATTTTTTCTTTCGTTTAATTATTGCTAAACAATTTACAAGTTAATTTAAAAAATAAAAGAATAATATTTGCATATGAATTTATTCAAATTTTTTAACATTAGCTAAATTTGATAATAATTATGCAATAAATTTAAATTATTAACAGAAAAAATAGTTTGTTTTAATCAATAATACTAATTTTGTTCTTAAAATTTTAAATTTCTCACTGTTAAATGAATATATATATATACCTGTAGGATTCTCATAAAACATCCTCGCTTACAAAGAAACCTCGGACAAAAAAGAAATCAAAGAAAGCAACAACAACAACGACAACAACACCAACAACAACAGTGACGACAACAATAAGTTAACTGAAATAGTATTGTGACCGATATCGAAAAAAAATATCTGAAATTTCACAAATGAGAAATTTTGTTTTATGATCTAAATTTTTTATATTTTGTGTTAACTTACGTGCCAAAATATTACATCTGATTCAAAAAATTATTACCTGTTCAACTATACATTTTACACCTTAACAACCACTTTCTTTAATTTCTTTTTTTTAAAGAAAAAAAGATTTTTATGTACTCTTTTTTGCCGTCTGATTGATATCTCATAAATTGATATGTATAGGTAAGATTTTCAAATCTATTTGTTCTTTTCCCCATAATTTGTCCTCTAAGTATTCCTAAACCATAATTTGTTATTATCATCACATTTAAATTTAACAATATTACATATTTAGATTTCGTTCAATTTTTATCTAAAATTCATCTAAAATTTTGAAATCTTAACTGCTAAATATTTATTTTTAGTACCAATTAATTTACAGAAGGTAGTAATACTATTTAATTAGTACTGATTAATTTACTTCTTTCACAAAAGAGATTTAGCATTTGTTTTTATTTTCTTCTCTTGTTTTAAAATTTTAATTTATAAATTTTTAGCTATATGTCCGATGACAATAATAATAATAGGAATAATATAATAATAATAATAATTCTTTTTGTATTGTCTTAACTTTATATGACAATAATTTATTAGATAGAAGAAAAAATTTTTTCTTTTATTGTGAAATATATTTTAGGATAATTGTATGTTAAATTTTTTCCACGCTTTAAAAAATTAAAAAAAAAAACGAAAGAATTTCTTCAATAATAATTTTGAAATTTAACTTTTTGTAATTAACTTGTTAAATAACAATTTTTGCTAAGTTTTTTTTTTCTTTTTAAGATCAAATTATTTTTATTAGTTATGCGCGAATTTTTCATACAGTTTACTTTGCTTAATTGCTTTTTTATCTTCTGTTATTGTTAATGTTTTAATTTGATTAATTAGTTTTTTTCATTTATCTCAGTACAACTATTACTAATTGTTCATTATAAAATGTTACGAGCAATTGTTGATTCAATTTTCAATTATTTGTTAATAAATTAATTTTAATGTCAAAATTTAAATGAATTTTTTATTCTAAGTAAGAAAAGAATTTTTTTAGTTGTCTAAAATGATTTCATAATTTAACTTTTCAAAATTACATCATTTATTAGTTAATGTATAATGCATCTAGTTTTGCTTCTTATTTTTCAGTGAATAGATTAATTGAATTACCTAATAATATCATTTTTTTTTTTTTTTTTTAATAATTTTCTCTCTATTTTTTTTTCTAATTATTAAAATGCTTCTTATTCATAAAATCTCACTTTTTTTCTTTGATATGCATAATAAAGTTAACGAATAAAGAGTTTAAATGAGAAAAGAGTTAAATTTTTATTTCAATAAAATTCAGCGAAATGAAAAGCCCATACAGTTACAGTTTTACAAGATGCGTCGAAAGAGAGAGGAAGAGGAAAAGAGGAAGAAAGAGAGAAATGATTCTAACAATAGTATTTAGTATAAATGATAGGAAGTAATAATTAGAAATGAAATAATTGGATGTAGTAATAAGTATTCTATTTCTACATAAAAATTCCATTATTGGATTAATTGAAGTAACAATAGGGAATGGCTATATTATCTGTGAAATTATTTTAAAAAACAGAATGAAATTATCATTTTTTTTTCCCAAAGTTTTTAGAGAGATTTTTTAGAAAAAAAAAATGGAAATAGTAATATGAGTGGTGAAAAAATACAATGAAAAAAAACAGAATCAAAAAAAAAAAAAACACAAATGGCGATATAAATGATATAATCCAACGATATTATCACTTTTTTTAAAAAAAAATTTCTTTGAAAGTATGAAAATAGTTGATGCAAAAGATATAAAAAGTTGAAATCATGATGTAAATGATGTGAAAAATACAACATTTTTTCTCAACATTCTTTAAAAAATAGAAATAGTGGTAAAAATGATATAAAAAATACAATGAAGTTATCACTTTCTTTCAAAAAATTCTTTAAAAAAAATAAAAATAGTGATATCAATGGTATAAAAAATTGAATAATATAAATAATTTGAGTGATAAAAGTGGAATTATCAGCATAATTCACATTCATTTCTTATCTTTTTTTCAACTGTAGTTTTTGAAATAAAACGAATTGAAAGTAACTATTTATTGCAAGCTAAAAGAAATTCAATAATATTTACTTTAAGCTAGTTTTTTACAAAGTTTACGAAGCTAGTTATAATATGATGATTCTGTGATTATTATTATCATATCACAACAATCACAGGAGCAATTATTTAATATTCAAACAAAGTTGGGAAACGTTCACAAAAATTATGATTATGAAAATTATGAAAAATTATTTCCTATAAATGATATGATATCATGAATGATTAAATTACAAAAGATGTTAATTAATTAACAGTTAATTAATATATGATATAACAATATTCCTAAATTTTTAAATTCCTAAACTATAACAGTATGCTATCACCACTAATGCATTACCTTAGCTAACAATCAGCAATAACTAGAAAATTCAATTAGCAATAATACCATTCTTTTTCTGAAAAGTAGTAATGCCATTTCAATTATTACTGAAAACTTATAACTCAAATAATATCACAAATTCAAGCTAAATATCAAATATGACAGCACTGCAAATTTTCCACAAAAAAAGTTCAATGTTTACTGGCATATGAATATTATGTTAACAAATCAAATGCCACTATTTTCTCGTTCAACAGTACTCGCCAAATATGAATAAATTCTTTTCACTATCCCAATGAGACGAATGCTTTTCATTGTGGTCCGATTGGTTAGCGTCATTGTTATGTAGCGAGGCGTTGTTGCGTTGAACTTTTTACATAGGTGAGATTTGAGTTCGGTGAGGGTTCTCGCGGCGCAGTAAATTTGGGTTTTCTGTTAAATTTCCGGGATACGGGTGCTTCTGGGATTCCGAGGTAAAAACTCTTTTTGGGGTTTCTAGGTACAAATGCTTTTGGAATTCCTAGGTAAAGATTTATCTGGAATTCTGAGGTATAGATACTGCCAGATTTTCGGGTAAATATGCTTTTGGAATTTCGAGGTATAGATGCTATTAGAATTCTGAGGTTTAGATACTTCTGGGTAATTGCAAGAGCCCATAAATATCTTCTTTCTGTAAGATTTTTGAGTGAATAATGTTAAAAGCCTTTGTAATGATCTAGAGGAGTAAGTGGCTGTGCCGCGGAATCCTAACAAGAATCCTGATGAGGATTATAAATTTTTAGCGTGTATTGGACGTTTTTCTCTACCATTTGTATAATTTCATGTTGCATTTCTTAGGCTAATTGATTATTTTTAGAAAAACCAGTCAAATAATAAAAAGCAGTATGGCAAAATCAAAGAATCATACAAGTCATAATCAAAGTATGTTTACATTTTTATTTGTTTGCACCTGTAGCATTATGCTAACGATGTTTACATCATAAAATTATTTTGTCTATTATTACTGCGCATAACGTGTAAAATTTTGAACGTTTTTACATATGTTTAGTTATGAATATCGTAAGATGTTCGGTTATGAATACAGGACGGATTATTTCAGATAGAAAAGATCACAGGAATGGTATTAAGAAACCGAAGAAACACCGTTTCATGTCCATGAAAGGAGTTGACCAGAAGTTTCTGCGGAATCTTCGATTTGCTAAGAAGCATAACAAGCGTCATCAGCATCAAAAGAAGGAATCTAAAGCTTAATACAGATTAATTTTATGATTGCTTGATTGTTTTTTTGTTATATACCAGTAAATTGTTAACAGCACTGTTTGCATATTGCGTTTTACACTAGTTGTACATGACATATTACTTGTAGAACTACTTTATTTCATAGGAAATAGTTTTATTCTCATTTATTGGACATACTGCATTGCAAGACATTTACATGTCCATTTTACATTTAAACTTACATGTTAGGCACTTACGGTTACCCTTGAAACTCACCCAATTTTTGTTAAAATTATACAGTTGGAGTTCAGGATTTTGGTGTTGTAAATATTTCCGTAAGTTGCTAGTAACTTTTATAAAGATGAATGAGGAGTGCATTATTCGAAAATTGATAGCCGATGGAGATGGTGGTGGTGATGATCGCCGTTTTGCAACCATACTTGCATTACTGTTGAAATATTTTAAGGATTTCGAATCATCACAAAGGTTACATCATTTCTGTGATAGTTATGGGAATCTTTTGTTCCTTTATATGTGTAGTTTCAGAAGATTCTTGAGAAAATCTATGTCACAATTCTAGGAGGGTTCGAGAAGGTTAAAAGAAGTGAAATTTGACAAGATGGAAACTTACATGATCGTGATTGTGCAGTTTTTAGCGTTGTACCACGTATAATGAAAATGATGGAAGCAGCAGAAACTGCTATGAAAAAGCAAGCATTGATTTCTACAATGAATGAGCAACAGATACAGGAATACATTATGCTCACAAGTCATATAGGTAGTTAACTTTTTTTTTTCAGAGTTTACTAAATTATTAAATCAAATATCATTAGAAATACCTAATTTTGTTGCATAAAACAGCGGAAGTTGTTTGATTATCATTTTTCATAAATGATCACTTTATCATATGATCTATTATCACACTTCTTCTATAATTCAATTGAATATACAGCAAAATCCTTTCAATTTCCATAAAGCTGGAATAATGATAAATGATGAATCATTTTACTATACTTTTCAACTTTTGCAACTAAAGATTATTCACTTCAATTTGTAATTTTCTTTTATATTCATGGAGATTTAAATAGCATAGCTAGTTTATGCATTGTATCTCTAAATTTTCACATCTTTGTTGATTGTTCCATACACAGCAGTATATAGCAATATTTTTGATACTATTTAATATCGAAAGAAAATGATTCAGTTCGCTATTATAATTTGCTATACTCAGTAAGGATTTTTAAATTATTATAGAACAAGAACTAATAAAAGAAAATCAAGAAAAATTCGCTGCAAAAAGGGAATTAGTTGTTGCGAAAGGGCAGCGAAAAAATAAAGAAGAATATGAATTATTGGCCAAAATGATTGAAAAAGTGCCGTCTAGATCAGAAAGCACCAGGTTTTTTCTTACTACTTTCTTATAAACGAAAAATTGCTTTTCACTGAGTCATTTCGCAGGAGAAATTGAGATTTTGAAAGCAATTTACAAAAATATATCAACTTCACACCAATATTATGATATAAAACTTTCTCAGAGAATTAATATGTCATATTGATATGAAAGTTTCAGTCCCATATTTGAAGACAAAATCCTAATGCTTAACCACCACTTTGTTTTCATTATATTTTACTAAAACCATTTAGTCTTTTTATGATTTAATGCTACGAAATTAATATAAAATCATTTCATGCTGGATAGAATTTATGCATTTCATTTGTTGTAGAGCAAAATTCTATCAATTTTTCCATATCAAATATCAGCTTCAATAATATCTCACCTCTACCATAGACTTCGATAAAAGTAAACAATGATTTAGCTTAGTAGTTGAATGTTTTTTAGTGCAAGAATTTTAACGTATATAGATGATACTGTATAATGAAGCATTAGGAAATTCAATAGTATTTTCAAATTTGGTCCATCCATAAATTTCTTAATGTTAACATTTGAATTTATTGAAAGCAGTTTCATTTAATACAACTAGTAAATACTTCTTATGTTAAAATTGAAGGAAACTAGACCTAATCAAGAAGGAACTTGAGGAACTTCATGAGAAGCAACGAAATTTAGAAACGAAGGTCTGTTTATCGTTAATTTTCTGTTGATGAATAGAATCAAATATTAATTAATAATGACTTCAGAAAAATTTTAATATTTCTAAGCTGCAAAATTCTTTCACCACAATCTTTTCATGTTTGTTCATATAAAATTATCCTCTCTTGCTAACAATAATGAACTATAATTTTGTTGGTTGCTTCAGTTGTTTGAAAATCAAAGTTTGCGTATTTAACAGTAATGTAAATACGATTATTTCATATTATATCAGAACATTAGGTAAATTTTAGCTAGCGGAACGTCGCAATCATCTTCATTCTCTCAATATCATACTAACAAACTTCTGCAAATTTCTGAAAGGTATGCTTTTAGTTTAATGCATTAGATACCTATTTATTCTTCGTTCTCTTATACCTTTTTTTACTCTTTCTCCTTAGGTCTTTGTTTATTTTCAATTGAAATTTCAAATAAAAACGTGCATCTGTAATTGCAGACGAAGAGAACGGTGAAATAATGAATAATGATGATGCTATGGACGGCACAGGGATAGATGGTAAAAAGGAGAAAGCTTAATCTGATTTCAATTTGATATTGTACCAGATAGTTCATTTGATGGCGCTTTTAGCTTAATAGTGACACTAAGAAAAAAAAAGTCATGCATAAATGCAACAAATGTTTCAAGAAATATATTTTGCACCAATATGGCAATGATAAACGTTCACATAAACGAATCGGAATCAGTAACAAGAGTTCCTTCATTTCTCAGGAAACAAAGGCATTTGAAAATTTCATGAAGTGACTTTAATTATGGTACTGACAGATTCGCGTATAAAATACTGAAAAATGTGCGCTCCTAATTTCCGCTGCAGTGAACAACATCGAGAGAAAAAAGCCAAAAAATAAAAATAAATAACCGTGAATAAGAATGATGGAATCAGCATATGGCGTCTTTTCAACTGCAGAAAATCGCTTCTTAGAAAGTCTTTACCACTCAAGAGTGGAGAAAATTGCTGGTTAGTGCTACTTTTTCACAAACATTATAAAAAATATTTCATTTGCTCGAAAATTTTTTTCACTTAATTTTTACCCAAATAATTTTTCCACCGTTATGGATGTAAAATTCTTTTCCAGCGCTAGTTGCTTCCATTACTAAGATCTTAAATTGGAAAGGTATTTCTCTCAAAGACTAGAATTTGATTTGAAACATAAACAAATGAGGTGAAATGGTGTGTTATAAAAAGAAACATCATACAGAAGATAATCTACATCAGAGAACATCTCGCTGGTTTTCCCTCCGCATTGCACCGCAATTTTCGTAGCTGCCCTGTTGATTTATATTTTTGAAGAAAATTCAACTGTTTCTGATTAAGAGCGCCCCGTCGATGTCTAAAAACAGTATTTTCATCATGCTGATTAACAGTAATGCTGATGTTGAATTTTATAGAAAGACCATTCACTTTTTCCCCTGTTTTCAAGAAAAAAAAAAAAGTTGAAAATTGAATTGTCAATATGAATACAATTCATAACATCAAGAATGTCATGTATTGTATAAGCAAAACACTATTTTATGAAATATTTAAAAAATTACACCACAGAACCAGAAATTTTTGTCAAGTCTTCCACAAAACTAAATATCAATTTCCGAACATGTCCCATTAAAGTTCTTACACTTTATATGAAGGAGTGGCACATACCGCCTGATGAGATCAACAGCATCTTCGTATTTCATACCAGCTTCCATAAGCGCAATAGCTACAAGCACTGGAGCTCGACCCAATCCTGCTACACAGTGCACAGCAATACATTGATTTGGATATAGTTTGAAACTTTCTTTTGCTAATGATAACCATTTAGTGATCAACTGAAAATGAATACTTTCACTGAGTCATAAAAAAAAAACCTTAAAAAGTTTCAAACCTATCGTTAAGTTCATAAATGCAATTTAATGAAATCACTATAAAAATTAATGATGATTCCATGCTATGAATATGATTTATCGCATACGAGTTTATTATAATTCAATTTAAATATTTTACCCTCCCTACTCTCTTCCCCCCTCCCACACCAAAAAAAAGTATAAAGAAAACTAGAACAAAAGAAAAAAAAAATCATTCAAAAATGATTAAGTTATATTCTCGAATAGAAATATATTAATCTCTTCCCTTTTACTGTGAGTGAAAAGTAACCTCAGGAGGTGGTGCGCTACCATCATCGAATTCCCAGTCGAGTACATCAATACCATTTACGATTAATGGCGTTGTCGCGTACGTTGGTTCACATACTCTAACTACTGCTCGAGCATTATGCTTTTCAAGCTCCTAAATTTTGGAAATGCTATCAAAAAAAATTTCCTTCCAAAATTCTAGTAAATTTCAGCTCCCTAATCCTAACTTTTTCACTTGTGCAAATGAAACTAGCAAATTAGAAGCACTAATTAAAAAGAAAAAAATTAATCATTTCCAACTGCTCAACTTTTTTTTTCGCTCACAATTACATTACGATGATATGTTACTCTATATATATAAATAAAACTATTTTTTTTTTTCTTAAGTGATAATTATGATTTACATTACGATGCATGAATAACATGCAATTCAAACATCCTGTCACAACTGGAATATATCTTTTCATGAACATATCGATGCTACTCAATGGTAAAAAAATATTGTATCAATGCTGCATAAAATTAAATGAAGCAGTATTAGCATAATCACTTAAATGAAGATTTTGTATTTAAAATATCTGAGAAAAAGAATAACTTCGATGTAAGTGTTGATTGTTAAATCAGATGGTCGGTCAGTGATTAAAAACCTCATTCTGCCATATTGAATTTCACTAGGCGCTGGCTTAAAATATGCTGGAGTTGGTCTCCTGGCAGTTGATGATTCCATTCTCCTTTCTCCTGCTATCATAACTTAACAATTGGTACCAAACTGCTACTACACAAAAAGTGTTGTCTCTTTCTTCTCAAACTGTAAAGATAATAATTGTAATGAATTATGATAAACAATTAGTGAGGAATAGAAGAAACCGAAATGTAAGAATAAGAATTGTGACCGGAGTTGACGATTTGATAACATACATTTTTATGTGATGAAATATAATCGACAAAGTAAATTAAAATAAGGAGCGGTTTAGAACTATATATTCCTTCCTTGATTTTCTTTTTCTGTTTTTTTTTTTCTAAAAGGAGAAAATCTCTGATTTATCTCATTTTGCTTCCTTTAATAATAATAATGCACCTTATTTTCGTAGCCACACACAGTTACCGAGTAAATGACTCCACCAGTAAATATACCTGAAAATAAAGCTGCACAGAACTGATAGGCTTAATGTCCACTTTCTTCCAGAGAAATAACATGTTCAATAGCAACGTCAACGAATTCACCATAAGAAAATGCATCTGAATGAGACTGCATTACCTGATGATAGCTGCTGCAAAGACTAAAGAACATTAAAATAATTTTAATATATATATATATATATATAAAAAGAATTTTTGACATCATTGATAGCTGAAATTTATGAGTTCTATAACACAATCATTTTATAACTATTACATTAATGATATAACGTTTCTTAAGAAAAATTAATTCATAAAAAAAAAAGACTTTTGCGAATTAATTTTTAAATTCAGGAAAAGTTAAACTATCAAATACTAATTTCAATGTTTAATTTGGAAATTCTACATTTGCAAATTAACGAAAAAGTATCATAATGCAAATGTATATGTGATCTGCCAATTACAAAATAATAATATTATGAACAAGAATAAGAAAAAAAATCCCATTACCAAAAGAAATCTCAAAAAAAAAAACAAAAGAATATCCAATATTTTCTTTCTTAGGATAGAAAAAGGAAAAAAAAAGTCTACAAAATAATGGTAGTAAATATTATACAAAATTAAATGCGTTGCGTAGCGTGACATGACGTGACGTAACAATAAATAATTCACATCCTGTATCACTGAACTTTTTTTTACATTTATGGAAAAATTTGTAAACGGCAGAGTACCTGCTAAATTCATCATCATTCAAATACTAAAAGTTACTCATGTGCTCATGAACTACGACAATAATATTGGAGGAAAAAGATATATATACATACATACATACATACACACATATACATATATCATTACTGGTTAACGACGCTAAATTATCTCGGCAACACGCGACAAATCATTCCCCTCTGTTGCTGTAATACTACAATATACTACAGCAGTACCATTTTTATGTGCTATCAATGAAAGAAAGAGAGAGAGAGAGGGAGAGAGAGAGAGAGAGAGAGAGGGAAAGAAGTGATAAAAATCATTAAAGATGAGGAAAGGATAAAAGAGAGAAAAAGAACGGATATTTAATTAATGTTTTGACCTTGATAGCAACATAAAACATGTAATCTTTAAGATTTATATTTTCTTCCTCGTCAACTGGTCATTTATTTGAAATGAAATAGCAGACTGTGAATGTAATATCAGTAATGACTATTCAAAAATATCACTTCCTCATAATGTTAATTGTTCCATAATGAAGCATTCAATCTGAATCTTCACACTTCATTAAGTCACACTTGCTAATGTAACTTTGAATCATTCATTTGCATCTCGCAGTTAAAAAAAAATGAAAAATGTAATTAGCACAGATGACACCATAAATATGACATCTATATGAGTAATAAGTCATTAATGTTGTTATAAATGTAATTACATCAAGTTAATGTAATGTAACAGCATCAATCTTATAAATCTTATAAAGTTTAAATATGAAAGAATTGAGACACAACAGCGGTTATTTTTGACAGTTTTAAGCAATCCAAACTTTACATATTCATCTCTTCATAATTAAACAGCTCATGCTTTCCACTTTGATAATGGTACTATATTGGTATTCCTATTCATACAATGGTAATTTTTTTCCCTTCTTTTTTATAAATAAATTTAACAGCACAGACGTTTAATTTAATGTTTGAAATATTTCGAAGATTCTTTAATGTAACGATTGCTCAATTAATTAAACAAGTAAAGTTGCATTTGAAAAGATCGTTGTTTATGTCAAACAGCTGCCCCCACCCGTTTCACCCCTCTTCCCTTCCCACCTTCACAGCAGATATTTTTGCGCTTGTTAATGTCCGTTATCTAAAATTCTGCTCAATTGAAATGTCTAAAGTTGTCCTACAAGTAGAGATTAGTTTTTGGATGACATGAAGTAAATTCCAAGTGAATTGAGGGGAGGAAAAGAAAAGAAATTAAATAATTTCGAAGTATTTGAAGACAAAAGAATTGATGAAACAAACAGTGCCTCTCCCTTTCCCATCAAACTTGGGCTAAAGTCTCCGCATTTCCGCTTACAGAATGAGAACTAAATATTGATTAGGTCGATGAACACTTCTAACCTGCATAATATCTCATATATATGGACAAAAAGACAATGATGATTGTCTCATAAAAGAATGTCCTATGGTCTTTATTCATTATCATGAAGTAAATAATACACAGTTCAGTTTAGGTACTATTAACTAAATAAATGATGAACAATTGTAGTAGTAAAGGGAAAAAAGGAAAAGCTCAGTACGAATTGCAGATGATGACATTTCACGCTCAACAGCCAATTTTAATGACGGATGTTAGCGATGCATGGACGAACGGGGGAGACAAGTTTGTTGTCAATAACACATCTCAAAAAATAATCAGAAGTTCAATTATACAAAACTCAAGAATATGCTATAACAAAATAAAAAGAGGAAAGTTTCATTGTTTGGCTTCCACAATTATCTATATAAATTTAATTCTTGCTTTTAATGAAGTTTCTTCCACTTAAAACTTCAGTAACAAAATGACATTTCTGTTGGCATTCATATATGCTTTTGCTTTTATTAAGAAACTGCATTCCTAATATTTTTCTTACAAATCCCCCTTCTTCTACTGTGATACTAACCTACCCAGATAAAAAAAAAGGAGAAAAAAAAATGTCGACAAAAATACCCTAATTACCTAATATAACACTACTAAACACTAAAGTCTAGCAGTATGATCTGATCTTCAAAATAATAATGTGCTGATAAAATGATGACAAACAAAATCAATAGATTAAAAACACCTATAACTTCACAGACATTGCAAGAAAAAAAAAAAAAAACATTTCTTTATAAAATGTCACTTTCGTTCAACTGCTAATAAATCTCATTTTCATGTGACTTCAGTACACTTAATTAGTGGTTATGGGCAAATAAAATCAACAATGTTGCACGAAGTGATATTCACTTTGGAATTTTTCACATAATTTCAGAAGACCAGGAGAATAATATTAGAATTATGCTGCAATATTTCCGTATTAAATTCATTATCTTTATTTAATTCTGAAGACACAAATCGATCACCGGAAAATAAAATAGTTCAAAAATTTCTAAAAAATAACACAGTTCTCATTCATTCCACTCCCAATATTCATATGAATGTTTCAAAGTAGATACCAGAAAGAGCGGAAATTATCCTGATAAAAGAATTAAGAATTTTCAGTTCGCGCAAAAGTGCACTAATACGAGGAAAAAACAGGCGATGTGGGTAAAAATAAAAAAAAAAAGCATGTGATGGTCAGTTGAATGATCGAACGGTCCGCAACACCTATCTTATCAGAAAAATCATAAACTTGATAATTCCATATGATTGAGCACTCGATCATAACTTTTCTAAAACTCACTCGTTAATGACATCAGTTTGTTTCGTGGTACAAATAAAGATGTAAAATTAAAAATAAACTAATGAAATTTCAAGACACCATGATAACTATAGTGCAAAAAAGAAAATTTTCTACCATATCATTTTCTACGACACATCATTATTTTATGAGTTAAACAATGCGCAAGCTGTACAAAAGAGAAGAGTAAAACAGAAAGAAGTAATACTTATTAAGACAAATACAGAAATAGCTCAACAGTTGAGAAGCCAAGGATTTGACTTTTAGAACTGTAAGATCATTCGACAAAAGGTAAAGATCAACCATAATCCATGTCCAATGCAGCATATGCAATCAATTCATATTATTAAATATTTCCATATATTTTAATACACAACAAACACTTTGCTATCTCTTATATACATGTTGAAATTTGAGTACACAATTTTTTAAAGTGAAAAAAAAAAAAAAAAAAACTGACCTGAGAATAATAAATGAAAAATTCGTATGATAAGAATAATTGTTTGCAATAATCCAACTGCCCCTGCACAAACAGTAAAACTTCCACTGTGGCTAAGTTTTGCTGGTCGTAAAAAAAAAAACAAAAAACAAAAAGATACAATTCAATGGTGCTGTGCTCGACAATATTCTCCAACTTCTGCGTTTAGGCTGAAAAAAAAAAAAAAAAAAAAAAGAAGCTTTACTACTAACAGATCCAGTTAGTGAGACAAAAATGGACCATTAAATGTAAATGGTTTCTAATGAAGTAATAAACCCATGAAAAACCAATTGTACCTATAATGATGAATAAAGTGCTATATCTTTCTTCATAGTTAATATGAAATATCAAGTAAAACAACTAGAAAAGTATGACATACGCATGGCGTAACCGAATGAAGCAAATAAAATTTGTTTCAGTGATATATTTTGTTTGTACTTTTCAATTTTTACCATTAAAAACAAAATAAAAAAAATGATATTTACTTAGTTTGAGAATTTACCATTCTACCTATTCAGGAGATGAAGCGCCATACAAAACACAGGAAAAGAGCGCTTAATATCGCGTGCATGAAACAAACACTCAAATCGAACTTTTTTTTTCATGCTAGACATACGAAATTCGATAGAAGCAGAGATCATGAAAAGACTTAATTAAAAAAGGAACGAAGATATTTGTAGTTTTCAAATGGAAAATTACAAATTACGTATACTATGTCTTT